GGTAACCTAACACCATCAAAATGCTGACCTATGACAAGAGGACTATCAACATGGTGACCTAAAACAAGAGGACCATTAAAAATAGTGACCTATGACAAGATGACCATCAAAATGGTGACCTAACACCATCAAAATGATGACCTGTGACAAGAGGATCATCAGAATGGTAACCTATGACAAGAAGTCCATCAAAATTGTAACTTAAGACAAGAGGACCATCAAAATGTGAGCTATGACAAGAGGACCATCAAAACGGTGGCCTAAGACAGGAGGACCATCAAAATGGTAACCTAACACCATCAAAATGGTGGCCTAAGAAAAGAGGACTATAAAAATGGTGACCTATGACAAGAGGATCATGACAATGGTGATCTAAGACAAGAGGATCATGAAAATGGTGACCTAAGACAAGAGGACCATCAAAATGGTGACCTAAGACAGGAGGACCATTAAAATGGTGACCTAACACCATTAAAATAGTGACCTATGACAAGAGGCCTAAAAAAATGGTGGCCTATGACAAGATGATCATGACAATGGTGATCTAAGACAATAAGACCAAGAAAATGGTGACCTAAGACAAGAGAAGCATCAAAATGGTAACCTAAGACAAGAGGACCATCAAAATGGTAACCTAACACCATGAAAATGGTGACATAAGACCAGAGATCCATTATAATGGTGGCCGAAGACAAGAGGACCATCAAAATAGTGACCTATGATAAGATGACCATCAAAATGGTGACCTAACACCACCAAAATGGTGACCGAAGACAAGAGGACCATCAAAATGGTGACCTATGACAAGAAGACCACAAAATGGTGACCTAAGACAAGAGGACCATCAAAATGGTAACCTAACACCATCAAAATGCTGACCTATGACAAGAGGACTATCAACATGGTGACCTAAAACAAGAGGACCATTAAAAATAGTGACCTATGACAAGATGACCATCAAAATGGTGACCTAACACCATCAAAATGATGACCTGTGACAAGAGGATCATCAAAATGGTAACCTATGACAAGAAGTCCATCACAATTGTAATTTAAGACAAGAGGACCATCAAAATGTGAGCTATGACAAGAGGACCATCAAAACGGTGGCCTAAGACAGGAGGACCATCAAAATGGTAACCTAACACCATCAAAATGGTGGCCTAAGACAAGAGGCCTATAAAAATGGTGACCTATGACAAGAGGATCATGACAATGGTGATCTAAGACAAGAGGATCATGAAAATGGTGACCTAAGACAAGAGGACCATCAAAATGGTGACCTTAGACAGGAGGACCATTAAAATGGTGACCTAACACCATTAAAATGGTGACCTATGACAAGAGGCCTAAAAAAATGGTGGCCTATGACAAGAGGATCATGCAAATGGTGATCTAAGACAATAAGACCAAGAAAATGGTGGCCGAAGACAAGAGGACCATCAAAATAGTGACCTATCATAAGATGACCATCAAAATGGTGACCTAACACCACCAAAATGGTGACAGAAGACAAGAGGACCATCAAAATGGTGACCTATGACAAGAAGACCACAAAATGGTGACCTATGACAAAAAGACCATCAAAATGGTGACCTATGACAAGAGAACCATTAAAATGGTGGCCGAAGACAAGAGGACCATCAAAATGGTGGCCGAAGACAAGAGGACCATCAAAATGGTGACCTAAGACAAGAGGACCATCAAAATGGTGACCTATGACAAGAGAACCATTAAAATGGTGGCCGAAGACAAGAGGACCATCAAAATGGTGACCTAAGACAAGAGAACCATAAAAATGGTGACCTATGACAAGAGAACCATTAAAATGGTGGCCGAAGACAAGAGAACCATCAAAATGGTGAACTAAAACAAGAGAACCATCAAAATGGTGACCTAACACCATCAAAATGGTGGCCTACGACAAGAGGACCACAATGCTATCTGGATGAAGCAGTGGTACAGTGGTTAGCACACTTTCCTATCAACCCACAACTGTGTTCTTGTTGGCCATAATTACACACAACTTATTTTACTTGGTGTTTCTCTTCAGTGCCACCATATGTGATATTGCTCTGGTGCTGACAATGTACATACATGGTCAATGAATGGGAACCTTCTAAATGACCTCCATAACCAGATAAGAGAACCCCTCCCCCCCAAAAAAAATAAATATTGGTGAGAGGGGGCAAGATTGCACTGTTGCTTTCTTTTGTGCCTTATTTTGGTTCGCACACTGCACTACGATGGCGAAATGATATCTCCGTCACCTGGTATACAGTTTATGCACTCTCCGCATCGTCGCGTGGATTTTTTCTGGATCCTCCGGTTTATCCCTCGACATTTAGAATGAACATGCGTTTAGAGCATTTGGCTGCTATACATTTCCACACTTCGTGGCCAGGTCGCTTCTGAAAAAGAGCTATGCAGCTCAGTGGGCCTTACCTGGTAAAAAAAATAGTTTAGTTCAGTTTTAGTTTACTATGAATCCTGCAACATGAGTTTCATTTCTGGTCACGGCTAACATTAGTGGCGAGTGATACCCAAAACAGACCTGGAACTCTCCTTCACCAACCCACACTGATCAGCTTGGCAAAGTATGCACAAACAACAGACATGCACAAAGCGTGCGTGGTTGCCTTCATTCAGCAGTGTACTGACAACATGGTGTTAATTATTAGTATTATGCTGTACATGCATACGTACAAGGGAAACAGGGGGGAGATAATATCTGCAAGAGTGAATCGTTTGAAACATAATTATCATGGCTAAGTGAGACCTCTTTGATACTTTTACACCACAACATTTTCTTGGTGTAAGATGGCTAGATTTGTCAGCCGCGATCGCAATGAGAAGCTCCCCAGCCTTGCAAACTCGTTTGGTGACTGCAGGGGAGCTCATTAAAATGTAATGTAGTAACTGAATGTTAAACATGGCCTTTTCAAAATGCATGTATTGACATGGGTGTCATGTTCACCAATGTCACTCTAATGAGATTGTTCTCCTGCCACTGGCACAGTGGCGATTAAATACCGTGATTTTTTTCTCTCAGAAGTTTTAGCATAGGTGTGGGAATGAGCTGAAGATTTCAAAATGTGTAAAATATTCAATAAAAGTAGTTTTCGTGACAAGACTTTTGTTATTGATGAAATTAGACATTTTCTTGACGTTTAATTACATTATATTTGTTTTTTTTCTTTATAACATAGCTTATTTTTAGTGTTGCCATATCCTGTAAAAAAACGTCCTTGCATTAATTTCAGGTCACTCTTTGCAAAGTAAAACTTTCCGGTTGAAAGGATTTTGTTTATCTGGTTTAAAATAAATAAGCAATGTCTCTATGAATCTGTTTCTCTTTACAAAAAATATAATAGATTTTTTTTTTTGCACAACATATCAGCCCCACGGCTTTCTGGAAGTGCATAATGCCTGCAGCATTAATTCAGCACAAAAAAAACCTCTGGACTGGTTTCAACATACAGTGCCTCATCAGTAGCCAGGCTTGCTTTAATCAATGCTGCCAGATATTATAGGCAATTACTCACTCTTTAAGATAAGGGTCAGAGTTCGACAAAGCGAAAAAAACATATCTTTGTCGAACTAGGAACTATATCTTAAATAAAGGGTACTTCTCTATACAAACAGGCCTGGCTCTGCTGATGAGACACTGTGAGTCAAAACTGGTCCACGGTTTGCTTGTATTGATTCAATGCTATTGAAATTACGCACTTTCAGAAGTCTTTGCAGCCATTAATTAGGTCGTGTAATAATGCTTTTTTGAAAAATATCCTTGGAGAGATGTATATATGCAGGAGGTATACTCCCTACGTATCTATGTTATTATCTATATTTGCTAAAATAACGGAAATGGCTATTGCGTATTATATATGGTGAAAAAAATAGATTTTACCCTCTGGCAACATGTTCAAACACCAAATATATACCTTTTGCAAGGCATCAAGTCTGCATTAATCACACATTCTTGCAGTAAAAGATGAAAAAAACATCCTCTGATAACAAATGCATTGTCTTTTCAACTGATTGGCCTACACCAGAGACAACCTTCTTTATGGCCTAGTCTCACCGATGGCGTTTTCTGTTAGACGAGAGAACGCCATCGGTGAGACTAGGCCATAAAGAAGGTTGTCTCTGGTATAGCCGCAGCCAATCAGTTTCAAAGACAATGCATTATCAGAGCATGTGTGTTTGCATGTTTTGCCACTAGTACGTGTAATTAATGCAGACTTGATGCCTTGCAAAAGGTAGCTATTTGGTGGTTGAACATCTTAACACCTGTTTTTTTTCCAGAGAGGGTAAAACCAATTCTTATTTTTCATCATTTTGGATACTGGCAAAAAGGGTCCAGAGATATGCATTATATAGATTTGAAGTTTTTGTGACTGCAGGGATCCATACTCTTTGGTTCTTTTGGTAAAGTCACGTAGGTAGAAAATAAAATCAATTAAATCACGTCGTTTCGGGCGCAACACAAGCGTCCGTCATCAGGTGGGACAACCACAGCAATAAACAATTGCTGAAGTCGGCAATATATATTACCTATATAACCTCTTGTGTTGCGCCTGAAACGACGTGATTTAATTTATTTTATTTTATACTTAAGTGACTTTACCGAAAGAACTAAAGAGTATGCATTATATAATTTAGTTCCACCAAATGGAACTAAAATGAGCAAAAACAGAATAATATCCTCACTCAATATATCAAGCAAGATTGATTAACATACCCCCTCCCCCCACCAAAGAATGTCCACAGGCTGAATCCAGCCGGACATGGGATTCACATCTATAGAGGTGGGGGCTCTAGGAGGGTCAGGGGCTGAGGTAGCGTGGTGGGTAGTGGTGATGGTGTGTGGCTGGGCACAAAGACAGCCGTAAGAGACCATTGGGGCAAGCGCCGCCGGCGAGTGTGGACACATGGGGCAGCAGCGTGAACGGTGCACGGAACGAGGAACAAGAAGTGTCGGGTCCTGTGGTAGCTACCGAAGTTACCCGGGCAGAGGGCGATGTTGCAGTTCTTGGTCAGCCGCTCGGGGCCCTCGCAGCGACGCCCGCCGTGCTGGGGCTGAGTGCAGGAGCGCACGCGCTCGCGGTAGCCGCGGCCACACGTGCTCGAGCACAGGCTCCAGGGGCTCCACTCGTCCCACAGCCCGTTAACTGGTGGCAGTGGGAAGGGGAACAAAGGCAGTCAACAATGCATTGTCAAGGCTGGTCAATTCGAGGGGTAATCTCTGTCGACCAGAGGTAACCATCGTTGTTGCTCTGCGTTGTGTTTTCCGGTTGTTGGGGCAATTTGTGCGACGATTTTGCACCTTGTGCTGGGAGCTTCGTGAGGAACTGTGTCCCTACACCTCCCCTCCCTTCTTGCCTCGACACCCAGGCCCAGGTATGTTTATCAAAACCGTGCAAGAGATCTAGGCAAAGTGAGGCAGTCATGACTTGCTAAAGTTGAAACTAGCAATGGAAATTAAAGCTGCATACAGTTCCTGAAGCTAATCAGCACCTGAAGCAAAACATTCCCAGAAACTTTTCCTGACAGAAGCTCCCAGAGAATGGAGCAAAACGTCGGACAATCCATAAAACACATCAATGCAACTGATAAAAAAAAACATTGAACCATCGTTAATGTCACCATTACAGTCATCATTATGGCTGTCATTGTTACAGTGTTATGAATTGCATGGTATTTATTATTGTTGTTATAATTGCCACCATCGTTATCACATCATTTTCATGATCAGCATTGATTTTGTTATTATCACCATCACTATAAATAATATCAATGTGACTGTCATCATCTTTGTCATAACGTTGGCGGTTCAAACACCTGTGGCCATGTTTCTTTTGCTTTTTAGTGGGTCCAGTGTTGAAATAACCGTTGGGCAAATTTAGCTTACACCCATAGTTCTTTTGATCGCTAATTTTGATTATATAGCATAGGTGCTGGAGAAACATTCACAGGAAGCTTGAGAGGCAGGGTTTACCCCTGTCAATGTGAGAACACTAGATTCATAAAGGAATTGCTGATTTTTCAATTGGGCTGAAAGACTCCAATATGCCTCTCGAGAATTTCACTTTTGTTGAATTAACTTTATGCAGCATCATCATCGTTATTATTACACATTTCATCAGAATCATCATCACTACCACTAGCATTATCAGACCACAGTCATTTATTGCATTTATTTATCATAACTTTGATGCAGCATAGTCTTGTAGGTCTGTTAAATATAAGCAATTTAAAATATTATCTAGGTCAATGTTCATTCAGCACCTTCAGTCATCTGGCTAGCACAATCCACCAAAAATACACTGTGGACAGTTTATTCGACATTTCTGGGGTGTTTATGGTCAATGATAAAACGAACGCAAAATTAGATATGGATATCTCTTGTACGGTCTACTACCAAATTACAGTATTTATTTTAATACAAATTATCTAAAAAATACTATGATTAAATGTCAATGTATATAATATCGTGCCACAATCTTTACCATCATTGTCAACAATAGCAATAGTCGTTAGCTTCTTAATTTGAATTCCTTATAATACATTGCCACGATCATAATCATATTCAGACAGCCTCATCACTGTTATAGTCGTCATCTGTCATTACTAATGACCATTGTGAGTTTCTTTTAATCTTGATCATAAGTCATACGTAAGCATTTTCCATTATAAACCATTACTCTTTGGTATTCGGCAATTAGCAATCAATAGCTAATCATCAAAGTCATTTGCCATCATTCATCACTGGGATCAAATTTAATGCATGTCTTCAATTAAATTTGTATTGAATGCTGTTAAGGAATGGTCCAGACCTATTTTCACCATAATCCCCGTCGGCAACAATTATCCAAAAACCGATAAGCAAGTAACTATAGACTTTGAGAGACTGAACGTTATAATCAGATGGAGGCAGACAGAGGAAGTTGAAGGGTAGAAGGAAAATAAAGCATGCATGCCACTTTTAAAATCACATGGGTAAGAATTCATGCTTTTTTAAAATTAAAAAATAGAGGGTTTTATATAGATTGTGTAAATATAAATGTTTCGTTATTTAAACGACCTAACCCCCCCCCCCCCACCCACCATATTATGGATAATATTGGTCGCGGAAACCTACGTGTTAAAATAGCTTTTTAGTTCGTATATATTTTTTATCCATGGTCAATCCACTGCTGGATAAAGGTCTGCCCAACCCACCACCGTCACTCACAATTCTGCAACGTAACACCGACACACGTGATAGTAAGCTCATAATGCAGCCTTGCATAATCCAGGCTACATAGGGAGCGTCATTTAACATGAGAGACAATATTACCGAATGCCTTTCTCAAATGGCTCCAGCTGATGTTGCTGGAAAAACCAGGTTGAGTATGTATTTGGTTAAAGTGGTGGGAATCACACATACGGAAATTCCTTTGCATTGTAAAACAGAACGATTGAATCTTCTGAGCCTTTTTTACCTCCACCATATTACCAACAGCTGCAAACAGCAGACAATATAACTCCGGATTTGCCTTCCTTCTCAATGTCTTCAGACAAAATAGGACACCAAGCTGGAGATATCTTGTGCCGTCGTGCTTTTTCTCTCATCTGAGATTATCCCTGACCCTTTGCTCTTCGATAGTGATCTTTCAGCAGAAGGCTAAGGGGCATTGACTCTGTTCTAATAATTTGGTGCGAGAGTTCATGCCTTTAAGAGGCTGCCTTGTTGCAGCCTTGCTTGTACTAGACCGAGGTCAGGTCAAGCACTCGCAGAGGCCCAACAATCCATCGTCACCTTTATGTTTTTTTTTCTCTCAAAAAGAGAAGAAAAAGATTAAGGAGTAAAATGAAACTGAATTGCTGACACTTTTGATCTATGGACTGATTTGTTATTTGTATTTACTTGTAGTTTCATAAACAGTGAATATTGGCACTAGGACAATTATTATTTTTGCACCGTGCTTTTTGTATTGCAGTATTATTTTATCTGGATGGGAAGCATTGTGGCTTGATTCGCAATTGAAAGCCTGAGAGGTCAATCTCATCATCCCACTTAGGTGGATAAAATAGCTATGACTTTGGAGGAATTCAACAGTGCCTGTCCATTGGAGAGACTTGCTTCTGTCATAGATATGGAATTGTCCTCACTGGCCCATGAGCACCAATGACGATTACCGCAGCCAAAAACTCGTATGAACATAGGCTGTATTGGGAGTGCGGTCTAATGTGCAAGTATTGGGGAGTATATATTGTAAAATTAAACAGTCCTGTAATAAATTTTTATTTAAAGCTTTCGTGACTGCAGTAATTCATATTCTTAGTTTTTTCGGTAAAGTCACGTTGAAGAGAAATAATGCAATAATGTTGAAGAGAAATAATGCAATAATGTAATAATGCAGGTATACAACTTATACAGTACATGGATATTATCTGTATACCAGTTTTGGTCTATTATGTGGCTTGAGCAGTGTTTTAGGTAATTGTAGTCGATTGCTCAGGCCACTGCTGGTGGAAAGACCTCCAATAAGGGGAGCTTTAGAGAGCAGCTCTTTAAGATATTTGGCCTACACTGGGCAGATGTTTTGCAAGAAGTGGGAGTTACCCACACTTTATCCCACCACATATGACCTGCTGATTGACTAACTATAGTGAGCCATTGTTTCAACTGCCAATGACCTCTGGATTGCAATTCCAGTGTGCTAACCATTACACCACAGCATCTATGATTTCCATTACTCTAACAAAAATAAATGTGCATGACTGTGATATCTCTTAACTACATATATCAATATTATTGTCTCCTTTCTGTCAATAATATTCCACTTTCAATCGTAAAATATTGATAATACAATTAGTATCCTGAGCTTCGTATTTGTTATAAGAGATCGGACACCATTTGTACAAAACAAGCTGGAAGAAAGCGGTGACGTGTAGGCTTTTCCGAAAGCGGCGGTAATTGAACGTGCGGATCTGCTCAACGACAGAGTATTGGTGCACACCGGTATTGCCATGGGGGAATCCTGCAACTGATCAAAGTCCATTAGAAATCATTGCATGCGCAGCATCATAGGAGCACATCCCACCTGGGCACAGCTTTGGCGGGCTGAGAGCAGCGGTGGGGAAATGGAAGCTCTGCCTTTGCCTGACTGTGCCCTGTGGCTGAGCAGCTTCAGGCTGCAGATGCAAGCTGCTCGTTCGTTAACTCACAACACCCCACTGTATCTTGTCACCCACCCATTCCCGTCAGCTATACAACTATGAACAATAAAGTATGTCGATGCACGAAGGAGCACGGAGTAGTGCTCATCTCTGTTGTCCGATCTGAGCCCATAGTAGACATTCTGCATTCCAATAACAGGGGTCAGTCTGTCAATTTAATAATTGATGTGGACTGTCCACAAATTGATACATCGTTTAGTGACCACACAATGTTGATGTAGACTGAGTTGAATTCTGACTGTTATTAGAACCTGCAAGCTTCTGATTGTTGGTTGAGCAATATAAGAGTTAGTGTTACTAATTGCATCATCATCAATGGTCCATTCACTGTTGGCTGAAGGCCTCCCAAGTAATTGTTGCATCTTTCTTAACAGAGATACAGTACTCTTTTAACATATTTTTAATACCATTGTCATTAGATGCAAATGTACCTGCAGTAATAAAAAAAATTGTATTCCCCATAAATATATTCAGGTGGCATTTTATTAGATAAAATGTATAGATTCTACGCTGATGTTTTAGTGCTTGTTTATAGAGCTATGAATGCAATAACCTTGAATTGGTTCCTTTGAAATATGACATCCTTCCCAAAAAACCATCACGAAAACTTTAACGGTGACAGACTTGGCTTGACTGTGTGCCTCCAAGGTTGACTGACATTAAATGCAGTCCTATGCTACCCCGTAGCTTATTATGTAAACCACAGCGCACAGATGGTTGCTCATATAATCTAGAGTTTTTGGAGATAACTCAAGCTGCAGCCTACATTCTGAGTAAAGCCACACGTGTTGATGGGCGAATACTCAGTTTCAGTGTGTTTCCGTGTTTCAAATGCTTTGCCTCGCATATGCATTGGGATGATAATATAATCAGACCAGTGCACATCGACTTGAGACGAGTCAAGCCAAAGTGTCCCTCTGCGCAAACAGGCAATGATACAGTAATCACCTCCTTTTCCAACCCGGAGCAGGCAGTAGAAATTCAACATGGCTATGGCAGGGACAAGTCCCTCCACAAAACAACTACTCACGTCGCAAATTAAGCAATATTCATTTCATCGACTGTAAAGTAAGGATGATGATGATGATAATGGTGAGCCGAGTTGACCTCTTACCAGGATTATAACTTGTGACCCCCCAACTGTGTGGGCTACATTGTCACAGCACTACCCAACCCATTTCATGTTTGTACGTCGAATGAATAAGGCAGCAATAAAGATGTTGGTCAGGTACCTCTGCATGCAAGTAGCGTGCGAGAGCACTGATCCAGCACTGCTGAGTTTCTAGGTTCAACTCCTGGTTTCAAACTTCTCCGATTAAAAGCAAATTCTCACGTGTAGAGAGTTTACCATCATAGCCTGGGCCCAAATAAATACATCAACAAAATAGTTGAACATTTAGTTTGCGGCTTAATTAGGTATATCCTTTACATTATGAGACCTCCTTTGCCAGTAACAAGATATCGGAATATGTTTTACCCTTTTAACTGGCACAAAAACTGACACCTTTATTCAAGGCATCATGTTTGCAATAACCACAACACAAGCAGTCAAAATGCAAACAAAAAAGACAACTCTGATAATAATATGCACTGTCCTTGAATTTGATTGGTCCACACCCGAGACGGCTTTTTTTAGAGCCTAGTCTCCATTGGTCTTGGACCAGAAGACGCCAAAAGGCGTACAACTCAAAAACAGCGCACTATCAGAGTATTGAGGGCTCGGGGTGAGCATTTACATTATGAGACCTCCTTTGCCAGTAACAAGATATCAGAATAGGTTTTACCCTTTTAACTGGCACAAAAAACTGACACCTTTATTCAAGGCATCATGTCTGCAATAACCACAACACAAGCAGTCAAAATGCAAACAAAAAAATACAATTCTAATAATAATATGCAAACATGATGCCTTGAATAAAGGTGTCAGTTTTTGTGCCAGTTAAAAGGCTAAAACCTATTCCGATATCTTGTTACTGGCAAAGGAGGTCTCATAATGTAAATGCTCACCCCGAGCCCTCAATACTCTGATAGTGCGCTGTTTTTGAGTTTTACACCTTTTGGCGTCTTCTGGTCCAACACCAATGGAGACTAGGCTCTAAAGAAAGCCGTCTCGGGTGTGGACCAATCAAATTCAAGGACAGTGCATATTATTATCAGAGTTGTATTTTTTGTTTGCATTTTGACTGCTTGTGTTGTGGTTATTGCAAACATGATGCCTTGAATAAAGCTGTCAGTTTTTGTGCCAGTTAAAAGGGTAAAACCTATTCCGATAGGTATATCCTACCTCTGATGAAGGAAAATGTTGATTTGTATTGCCATAAACTGCATCACCAGGTGTGTATAGCAGGCATTTTTAAGTGACCCCCTAAAAGGAATTATAAGATGTCACTTTCCAGGGGCAGCTCTCAAAATAGTAATGTTTCACTGTGACAGTTTTATAAAATATATTCCGTAATCTCATGGAATAATGCAAACAGCACAGCTGGAATGTAATGCCCCTTTACCTCTGGCACATCTGAGCTGAGCCACCGTGGGACTCTCATGGTACGGGTGGTTTTCCACTGGCTAATCGCTATGCTTAAGCAGAACCATAATATATACGTTGGCCTCATACAGCATGCGAACCTGGCTATGGGCCAAGCACAACTAGGGTGCCTGACTAATGATACATTCATTTTCCGTGATGTATCAGGACAACTTAAACACAGCGTCGCCACAAGACCTACGCGCGACTCAACCGTTCATTCTGCGTGACATCGGCGGCACGGCCTCTGCTCATGCAGTGGAAAAAAAAAACAATAACCCGTCGCCTTCCCGTGCCGTGCCAGGCTGGCTCAGGAATGGCCCCGACACGGTTCTGACCCGCGCGGTGAAAAAGAGGCGTGAGGTCGGCCAATGGGGGGGGGGGGGGGTCACTCACTGGGGCAGCTGACGGTGGTGTTGCAGGGTTTGGTTTCGCGCAGCGGGCTGGCGCACAGCGAGCCATACGACGCCGTCACGCACGAGCGCGTCCGGATCTGGATGCTGTGGCCGCACGTGACGGAGCAAGCGCTCCACTTGGACCACTCCTCCGTATTGAGCTCACTCCCTGCGGAAACAAAACACGTGCAACGTTAGAACAACAAAAAAAAGTAAGGCAAACTACAACAACCGGCACAGAAGGTTTCTCTTTCTAATTCGACTTGATGCTGGTTCTTTGAGTCAGGGGGTAGAAGGTTAAAGGTGGAGAGAAACAACTGCTTGCTCATGTTCCCTGTTAGTAGACGGGCCTCCACTAGAGGGAGTGCAAGATACATCTTCGAGTCGGTAATTTTGCCTTCTCTTCTCTATGTTGGCCCGATGTTTTAGAAGAGGTGGGACTACACACACTTGACCTCACCGCGTGCAGACCTGCTGATGTGCCCGTGGTGCATCGGTTTGTATTTCTGGGTGAAAAGAGGTGGGAGGATTTAAGATAGTTGCACCAATGTGCATTTGCAGTGCCAGGAGATCTCTGGATTATAAATCCAGTGTGCTAACCATTGCACCACCGCAGACTCCTTTTGACTGAAATCGAATGCCATTAATCGTACGTTTTTGGCGTAATGTCTCAAATGTCAATGAACCCATCGATGTTGTCTAGAGCTGGATTTAAATGTTCGAACGTTGTTGCACATTCCCTTGTTGTATTCTTCAAATGTTGCAAAGCATGCAACGCTAAACAATGTAACTTTGCCGCTTATATTTTTCAACACGAGGTGATTAAAATCAATCACAGCTTATGCCATTAATTGTATACAGACGACAGTCTCTAGACTCAGCAGCTGCCCTCCCATCTTTCCTGTATGCCTGGCTCATGGAGCCCAGTAAGGCATCTTAGACAAGGCAATGTGCACATTCAGCCAATGAAAAAAGTAGGCATTTCAGCTAAGTATTTCAGAGAAGTATATATATTAGAAAAAAAGTAAAATTACTCCGGTAAGGACAGATTCATCCAGTTTTATATATATTATGCATATCCATGCCATTCCATGCTGGCATACATTAAGCAAAAAATCTACCACGTACAATTATTACCCCCATCCCTGCTGGCTTTTACACCTGATTGGCTCACAAGTAACGACATTACATTTAAATCTCTATTTAAGACTGAAACAGGAGGATGTCTCCACTGGCAAAACGTTGCACTTCAATTGTAAATGTTGTGGGTTTACTCTCCAACACACTGGTGTGCTGTACTAGTAACGAATTGGCATGTTCTGTTTATGTGACAAACCTTACTAATTGGCAGTGTCGGGTGGTGGCGGGTTTAACGACACATTTATATATTTACGCGATTTAGCTAGAAAAAAAAACTCTTATGAATAACATTGGTTGCGAAAGCTTACGTGTTAAACGATAACTATTACCTTTGCGTTGCTATGATAACCCCACAAAACTTCATCCAGACAATCACAGTGCACGTGGAACATATTTTGTTCAAACACTTTTTTAACAATAGCTGAATGCCGCAGACTCATATGCAACATTACTGCACCGAATACAGCGGCATATGAAACATTGGGGCGACACAAACTAAAACATTGTTATTCACAACAATGTTCAAAAAAAGTTGCACTGACTGTATATTTTACAGAAGGGCAGGTATGTGCTCATTAATAACCCATGAGTGCACATATTCATTCATTGCACATAGATACAGCAAATAGGAAATGTTGAGCCCTTGGCAAATGTATAAAGGGTGCCACGGTGGCGAGACGTTAACTACCTCGCCTGGTGTGCAGGAGGTCGTGGCTTCGATCTCGACACTGACACCTGTATATTTCGAGTTTGCATGTTCTCCCTGTGGTCGCGTGGGATTTTTTTCTCCCGGTCCTCCGGTTTCTCCCTCAACATTTAGAAACATGAATTTAGAATATTTGACTGCTATAAATGTCCACATGATAGCCAGGTAGCTTCTGAAATAGAGCTATATAGCTCAGTGGACCTTACCTGGTAAAATAACAACTTACTTAGTAGTTTCGTTTATAAATTACATATATTTGAGATTTTCTTTTTAAAGCTACATGTTGGCAGTTATTTTAAGAAGTCCAGATTTTTATTTTATTTTATTTGAGAATATGGCCACCTGGTTGATGAGTCCATGAAGAGACAGATATACATTATTATATCTCTGACCCTAATGCATTACAGTATCTCTGGATCATAACACGCACTTTTTTCCCTAAACAAAAGTTTTGGGTGCATCGTCAAGGCAGTTGTGTTGTGTGTGTGTGGTGTAGAGAACATAATGGATACTGGGCACAAGTCTTAGGGTTAATGTTACTTTCCAGAGCATTTGTTTTAACCTGGAGAATATGGTAATATCTCCCAGTGGGAGTAACCAAATAAATTACTGCAAGGAAGTCACATAAGATGCACTCACTCCCAAATCACTCGTGTTCATTGGACCGGGTGTAAATATTTTTAGATAGTTGGAATTGGAGAAAAAATGTAATTAATTGAATGAACAAGGAAAGTGGCATGTATTGGAGCCTTTATATGTAGATAGCATATCATTTGTGTGTGCACCAAATGTTCTGAAAATGTATTCAAAGTATAGCGCTGCTTAATTTGTTCTGAAATCTGGGACATTTTACACTGTCTTGTGAGAATATTCAAGGGGCATATTAACATATGTTTAATTATTATAGCACTCTGAGAATACAACAAAAATGTAGGTGATTATTTGTATATTGAGTAGCGATGGTGGTGGTATCATATGTTAAATTACAAAAGGAACTCGATTTAATAAATTTTGCAGATTGCTATACGGTGATAGTTTATACCGACAATTTTATTTTTGCTGTAGCATTCAAGGAATTCTGCAGGGAAGTTATTTAATGTTTGTGAAAAAAAAACTGATTTCATGAACAGATATTTTATGCATTTGACCAGAAGTATGTCTTGCCCGTGGGCAACAGTGCTCGTAAGCGAGATTATAAAAAAAATACACATGACATTGCCGCATGTTCAAGGCCAATACTCAACAGATGATATTATAAGTGACAGTGTGCCATTTTCATAGACGCAAACGTGTCTCCCTGCTTAAATTATCACGTCTCCATCGGTGGCCCTGAGCTATTGGTGGAAATTTAATATTCCTATGATGGGTCCAGTCTCTGCACAGGATAACCGCATTGTTTTTGTGTTTACAAAGTGGTACTTATTTTATGAACCCCAAGATTAATGATTTGCCGACTTGACCCATGACCTGGATTTTGAGCTCGCAACTTTCTCATTGTAATATGTACATCGAGATTAGCAGAAAATGTCTCCATATATATCGGCCTCTCCATGTAAAAATAAACAACTCAAAGTACGTTTTACAAAACCCATCGGGTGCACAGCCTTGAGGAAATATATAATTTAAGGAGCATTGGTATACACGTTTCCTTATATAGATTGAATGCTGGTTAAATTAGTTTGCTTGTTTTTTTATCAATGCTGCTAAAATGATGCACACCCATCAGGTCACGTGGTCAGTGGGGTGTAAACGAAAGTGTATTTTTTTTGTACGTGGAGAGACATATATGAAAGCGATATTATCTGCTCATCTCTTTTTCTCAATATATATTCTCCACAATGATAAAAACACGAGTCGATAACCCTGAGCACGATGACGTTAATAGGAGCACATATTGAAAAGTTCGAGAAAAGTTCAAGAGACACGTGTCAATCTTCTGGAAACGTTACAGCCACCCATTCAGTGTCACTATCTATTATATGTCTTCTGGACTTCTTCCACGGCTTCAATTCACTTCAATTTGCATCGATTACACGAACATTCCAATAGAACCAGTTACCCAGTTAGCTTTGGTGGCAATTGCCTGCAGCCACGAACAATAAGGTTATTGTCGGGGTGCAGAGGAGCCCAGTCAGCAGTCAGCCAGGTAACTCAATGCATTGATTCGTTTTAAGAGTGTTGTGATATCATATGTGATCTATATTCTTGGTTCTTTCGGTAAAGTCACGTAGAAGGGAAACAATAAAAGAATAAAAATATATTTTTTCGGTAAAGTTATGTAGAAGGGAAACAATAAAATAATAAAATAAAATATTATTTTGTTTCCCTTCTACGTGACTTTATCGAAAGAACCAAGAATATGACTCCCTGCAGTCACGAAAGCTTTAAATAAAAAGATATGTGATCTATCAACAGTTTCACATGATCTAACTATGCCATTCTCTGGAAATTGCCAAACTGAGAAGTAATCAGCAGAAACAGCTCATGAGAAAGGCACAGGGTGTAAATGTAAAGTCTGGCTTTCGTAGGTTGTACCCACAAAAATACACAAGCATTTTACTTGGACCAAAAAACATGTCTTGCTCGTCCAAAGGAGAGGGTCCTAAGCAATTGCATCTTCTCTGACCGGCATGTCTTCAGTCTCATCTCTTTGGCTGGAGGTTAAGAAGGCAGTCCTGACATCCCAGTTCACACCTTGTCACTTCCATCAATCGGACAATTAGGACTCTAGCAGACAACTCACTTATGCCATGAATGCGACGTTGTGGATACAATTATACGCATTTTAAATGCTATTCCTCAAATCGCTTCCGTCCCATTTTCCATGCAATTATTGTGCACCAATAAAATCAATTAAATCCTCCTTTTTGCTACATTTGCCAATGGAATTTTCAGCAGATAATTATATTTGCATATGTCTTATAAAATGTATTCAGTATATTTGCAATTACAGTGCTAACATACCAATTGCAGTTAATAACAATCTCATACTTTTATTTAATTATCATGCATTCTGTTGCTGCTGTTCATGGAACTGGCTGAATATTGCTAAAGGGGAATGTGGTTGCTACTCGCTTGGACATTTCTAAGTTTAAACCCATCATGGCTCGGGGTTCATTAAAACGTGTACCAAGTCGTCCACAGTGGCTGTATAATCTGATCCAGTTATATATATATATATCCCATACCTGTCAACCCATACGATTTATCCATATTCTTGTACAGGGATATTGAGTTTTCAGGTCCAAACGGCATACAGCCGTTTCAATACTGGCATTTTTTTGTCTATTTGTTCGTGTTTCTTCCTTGTGATGGGACTTTGTAGGATGAACGTTGAGATTTCTAAGAGCACTGGGTGACCAATAAGGTCTGAATTGGTCTGTAATAAGGTAGGCACTGATAACGGGATGACAGATATGATATCCCACTGCTTTTTAATGACCTTGTTACTTTCTTATCTTGTTACAGCTGTTGATTATTGAGAATGTGATCATTACATTTCTTACAAAGTAAAGCATTCACATATTGAATAAGCATACTTAGATTGGTGGAGCACACATTAACGCTTTAATATTTTTAATGTAATTTTCTTCATGATTCCTCGTTATTTTAGAGGCGTATCTACAGTATGCATGGATAACCCTCTGCTTTGAAGAGAATGGCACTTACCGGATTCCCACCACTGACACATGACTGCCAAAGGAGATGAATGCTGACCCAGTATTGCAGAGGAGAGACACTTTGGATTTGAAATCACTATTACTTTGAACCTACAATTTCGAGAGATAACAAAAAAAACGAGCTAAACATCTATCCTAGCAGGGGCAACAGCTCACTTGGCATTGTCTACATATCCCAGCTTCCACCCACAGCACGATAAAACAATTCTGCAATTCTTATATTATTAATACTACAGTAAATATTTCAACTACAAAAGTCCCTTTTGATTAAACATTTCGGTTTTTTCAAAGGTGTCCAAGGGGGGTCAATTGTCACGTGCATGGCAAACGTGTGATGCCGCAAGCGTGCAGAAGCACCGATCCCAAGACCCCCAGTGCGACCCGACTTTCAGTGTGAGCCCTGTGCACAGCCAACCTGAATGCGAGCTGTAGGATGAGCCGACATAGGGAGCAGGCCGTGTCTCCCTGTTGCGGAAATCCACCGAGCGCAGGCCGTGGCTTCGAAGGGCATACTTTGTCTGGCTCCTTCTGTCTGACGAGGAGAATAGAGAAGATATGGATTAAAAACATTAATAGAGTATGTGTTCATGTACAGAAGGGAGTGGGGGGGGGGGGGGGGCAATTTGAACCAAATACTTTGGAGATGACATTTAATATGCTTTACAGCATGTCGTATCAACTATATGAATGTCATTTTTTCTGCAGCGGTTTCGATGTTTGCCCATTGGCGCTATGATGATATAACCTGTAATGTGTGTTGAAAAAGATACTTACTTGGCAGTGCACTGCTAAGAAAACTAAACTAAAAATAAGCTTTTTCCGTTTATTTAGAAAAAATAAAATCCACAAAACATATATTTAACAAGAGATTAGTTGCTCATGCGTATACCATACTTTCTTCAATCCCATACATGTGCCCAGTTGCATGGATATAAATATACATATTGTAGGTATGGATGATGCAACTATGAATATTGCAGATATCGAGGGACATCTATGAAGATTATAGATTCCAAGTGATTACTTCATTTAATGAACCAGTATATACATTTTGACCTAGACTGAATGCAATTAACAAGAGGATGGAGTTGTTTTATTATTAATTTCATTTTTCATACGTTTCATGCTGTTGTGAATGAGTGAATCACATTCCCTTGACGTGATGCTTCAATATATTGTGCCTTAAGAAAAAAAATCAGTGTAGATTTATCGCAATTACATGCATGATAAACAAGCACAGTGACAACGAATATGGCAGAAATTCTGAAAAGTGTGCAAAGAAGCATGGAGAGATGATCGATGCTTGGAAACACACAGAGAAACAAAAATGTACGCATCAGAGAACAAACACAACTTAGGGACATAATAATTGTAAAGATAAGTAAATGGGCTTGGGCAGGACACGTCGCTGGAAGGAGTGATGGCCGATGGACAAAACTGGTGACGATGGCAGCTAAAAGAGAGAACACACCCAAGAGGATGACCACTGTGGACATTTAGTGATGAGATCAGTCTATGTGCAACAGCTGTGTGGACGTTGGCAATGTAACCATGGGGGATGGTGTCGCATTTGGAGAGTCGTTATCCAACAGTAGATAGAGCAGGGCCGATGATAATAATGATAACTGTAAATGATATGGCATTGTTACTATAACTTAAGTTGCAAATTGTTGCAGGCATTTCTGCATAATGGTTTCTTTTCACATCTTGACAATGTTCAAGACACAGCATCTGACTGATTCTCCCCCATCATTATTTTTCTGGGGCACATGTGCAGTATTCATATCAATTGGACAAACAGGAATATTCACCACAAGAGTTGAAGGAATGTTATGGCTAGTTTAAAGATAATTGTCACACATTAGTGCTCTCATAAAACTAGGTCGTTGAACATATATGCCCATTAATGTAACAGAGAGCCTCTTAATAGGAATGTGAGTGGAGTGTATCTTTAAATGTATTAGCTTCCCGAAAAATACAATAATGATTGTATCAATATTTGCACTCAAAGCCACGTATTATCTTGGCTAATATGTAAAGATATGTAATATGATGTGTTCATTTACGTGCATTATACTTCGAAATTCAAATCGGCACAATTGGTGGGATTTATTGATCTCACCATTATTATCAGATTATTGTATGCTTATAGTGAATATTATCATTGGTATAGAGAATGTATTACTGTTGATAATATTTGTCATTGAATGCCGACTTCAATACAAAAGTTAGGAAAAAAAGCTGAGTATGATGTTTTAAATGAATTAATATGAATGCTCGTGTGCAGTTGTGAATGTATAAAGGAAAAAAAAAGTGTGGTCATGTTTAGAGACCAGTATAACTTAATGTAAATTAACCAACTATGTGATTTGCATGACGCTATAATTACACAATACATTAATCATGTTTGTGCAGGGCATTTGTTCCATCTCTTATTATAAACCTCTTGGCTCCTTGTCAGAAACACCGCATCAATGTTCCAAATGCAGAGTGAAGAGAGAGATTTTAGTTATGTAATAACAATGATGATTCACAAGCCAACAATACGGTAAGAGTTGAATCTCATTAAAATATTAACACAGCACACAATGACCATGTGTATGAGTATACTGACAGTGGCTAGCACTTGTATTAACAAATCATTGCGTAACAATACAATAATTAATCTTACTTAGCTTTTTACTCCCAAAGAAGATGCAATTGAGCCCTTGTGTTTCATGCAACGCTGGGTCTATGTTGTGGCTTGGGACACCTGGTAATTTATTACGTGGCATATGTAAATATTTCACAACGCACGTGGATAATATGGCTTGTGATTCTTTTTCTGTACACATTTCTAATGCTTTGAGTCACCTATGGGGTTTGGAAAAAGGACGATTTATACATATTCTACTTACACCCAAATATCGACCACTGCGGCTGGCCTTCGGAGACTCCACAGTCTTTGCTTTGCCACCGGCAGTGACATTTAAGTACCATTTAGGATAACAAACAATGCCTCGTGCGTTGAGAAAAATGTGATGCAGATATATTGACTTGGACTCAGTGTCCCAAAATCCGAGTGTCTTGCCTCCCTGCTGAATTGAACATGGAGTGGTGGTCATTTAAATTAGCAGTCCTGAACCAGCAGCAAAAAATTCTAGATGGGGCCATTTGGGTAACTACTGCCGACTTTGCAAAAGTAGCATTCATTTAATTGACCCCCAGATGGGTGATATATATATATTTTTTATCAACCTCCCACTGGATTTTGAACTTGCAACCATCACATTACATGACCACGTCGCATATCCAACCATAGCATATCTGCCAAGACCAATTAACTGCCCTACCCAATGCAGTATCTGTGCACACAGTTAGATTACTAGATTATTTTGCTGCAATAGATTTCCACATGATAAACCACTTCGTTGAGCTAACGTTTGCGGCTTCTAAAAAAGAAGCCAATGGCTCAGTGGGCTTTTCCTGGTAAGATAAAGAAAATATTTTTTTTTACTTTGCACTCCTATCGTGTTCTTGTATTGTTTGCTGTTGTAACGTTCTGACCCTCCCCTACTGGACATCTGTTAAAAAAAGGTTTGTATCTCATCGGATTCCTCCAGCATGCATACATATTCTGATTCTGTAACTGTCATTTGCCAAAGGTGTTCACAAATTCGTTCCTTTTCACACATCTGGCTATGCCTCAGCCTCCGGCGAGTCGGACGTGGGACTTTGCTATGCAATTGTCCCGCGGTGTGGCTGGAAGGTGCTTCACAAAACCTCGGCTCCCAGCCGCCGCCGCCGCTGCTGTGCGTGTTCTTACTGGGGCAGTCCTGCTCGCCGCAGCCGTCCGTCTCCTCCGCTGAGCCCTCGCAGGCGTGAGGGCAGCGCGCGTCGCACTCCCGCCTCCGCACCCGCAGCCCGCCTCCGCACGAGCGCGAGCAGGCACCCCACTCCGACCAGGTTGCCCACCAGCCTGCCAACATAAAGACGAGTCAAGTGAATATTTCTAAACTAAACTATATATTTTAAATGCGTTTTTTTTTAAGGTAAGTCGCACTGGGCTATAAGAGCTCGTTTTCAGAAGAGACCTGGCCACAACGTATAGCCGAAGTAGCTTATCACGTGGAAATTTATAGCAGACAAATATTCTAAAACGCATGTTGATTCTAAATGTGGAGGGAAAAATCGGAGGACCCGGAGAAGAATCCGCGCGACCACGGGGAGAACACGCACTCTTCAATTATGAAGGCATCAGGGTTGGGATCGAACCGGCAACCTCCTGTATGCTAAGTGAGGTAGTTCACATCTCGCCAACGTGCCATTTATATAGGTTGAACTTCATTTGCACCATACGTAGCCAGTCGGAGGTGTGGAGCAAGGAGAACAAACAAAACGCCAAAAGCAATTTTGGGGTTTTCAATCTAGATTTAAAAGTGCATAGCTCCAGTGGCTTCCGAATTATTATCGGAGTGAAGAGCATTCCAGATGGCCGCAGAAGCGCATCTGAAAGTGTGCAATGCAGTAGCCATCTTTGTTTGACGATGAGCCAAAAGCCGTTGCGAGGATGACCGGAGTTTGTGTGATGCTTCTTGGTGAGATCAGCAAGGCGTTGTGGTTCATTTGTGGCCAGCACTTAAAAATGTCCCCCGTATAGCCTTAACAGACTATCGTGGAAAGTGTTGTTAGTGGACACCCATGAAGGCACCCCACACGAGGGTTTGGTTGGCTTGCACCGTGCCTGGCCTCCTTTGTCTCCCTAGTAGCGATGATGAAATATGGCACCAGATACTAATTTGAGGCATCGTCGACCTAGGGGAGGCCCAGAACTGGTTAAGATGATTGTCCCTGGTGTTGGCCGTGAGCGGGAATCAAACTCATGTCTCCAGGTTTGTAGCACCGCATGCTCACCACTAAACTACCACAAAGACAAAGATCCCCCATATAACCTTAACAGATGGTTGGGGTAAGTGCTGTTAGCAAGCACCTATGACGGCCGGCACAGCACACGAGGGGGTGGGTGGCCAGCACCACGCCTGGCCGCCTCTGTCTCCCGACTGGCGATGTATACAACACACTGCTCCAGGTACTCAATTGAGGCTGAGTTGACCTAGGGGAGGCCAAAGACCGGTTCAGATCATCGTCACTGGTGTCGGCTGTGAGCGGGAATCTACTAACACACACAGCCACTCAGAACACAGCCCGCTACTACACACAGCCACTTAGCAGACAGCAATGTGGGGACATCGGAAAAGAACCCATGCAGAGAAGCCTGTTCCCTGTGGAATGTAGAACAAGCCCCATGCATTCGGTGCAAATTCTGGTCACCTATCCTGCACAGTACCATAACAGGCCTCTTCCATGGGTGATTTGTGCTAGCGGCCAGCCTGCGGTGTGAAATTGATGCGTGGCGGTGTAGTGAGAGCTCACGGAGGATGGAGGCAAGACCCGTGCTGTGTGTTTATGTCGGCGTGCATTCGACGAACGCAGAATGCATCATCTCACCCAGAAATGATAATCCTTTCCACTCTGTCCAATTTAATCCCCGATTGGTATTTTGCCGTCGTGTCACAAGTCAAAGTATTCATTTAAATATCTCACAAAACAGTGCAAATCTGCATGTAAGCTCACAGCCCACAGAGGCAGATATCACAGGGCTCCATCTGAGATCCCTTTAAGCAACCTCTTATTCACACAGTCGAGGAAATCACTTTTCCACCAGCTTTTACGCGTTGGAAACATGTGAGAGTAATATTATTTGCATGACAATTAACTCGGTACTATAATTTACAGAGCCAGCATGTAGCCAAATTTAAGAATCAAACTTACCATGATATTTTTTTTTGTGCAGTCATTGGTGACCTCACTGAAACCATCAACTCGAAGCACTGGAGAATCCGGTTTAATCACAAGCATTTGCCTGGATTCAAACCCAGCATCTCAGTGGTACCTCTGAGGCACCCGGCGACCTCCGATACTTTCTTTAATGTCAGACTTTGGAGGCATATGTTCCCTGGTAGTTGTAAGGCTGATTATCTCCTCTGGCTGGCATGAGTGCAAGACAATTTTTCAAATGTATGCCAACATTACGGACCTAGCTTCCATTTTATTACAACTTTAGTCGTGCACGTCTTGTTATATGTCTAGTTTTAAGTCAGGGCTTGAAAAATTACACTTTGTTTCATTCTGAAGCTAGATCATTAGAATGCATGAGCGGGGCTAGTGGTTGAATTCAATTTCTGGCACTTGAGTGCAATGGGTGTGCAAATCATAAAGCATCGCATAATATAAGGCATTTGATATGAGCACTGATCATATAATTACGAGTGGAAATGGATAAATTAGAGTAATTATGAGAGAGAAAAAGGTGTGATTATTAATATGCAAAGACGAGCATGTGAGTGAGTGACACTTCCACCCTGCTGATCTGTGAGGTGGCCAAGGTATTGCAATACAACCAGAGAGGTTTCTAACCTCTCTGTATTCATGTTTTAGCATTAGCACCTTGCCTCAATGTTTAATGAGAAATCTGGTTGCCTTTGCACGTGCATAATGCTCACTGAGAAATGTGTTAAACAACGTGCAGGACCCTCCGGGAGCTACATCATGACATTCTGTGAGGCTTTCTTAATAATAATAATAATAATCACTCTAATTACTATGGCACCATAACATGGCGAGCCATTATAAGGGTGCATTATATATTAGGTGAATACATATATTAATATTTTGTATAGATAAAAGTTATATATTACTGCACAGTGGCATCATCTTAATTGTATACGTCGGCTTTCACAACGAATATTACTAATCATGATGACTTCATTTTGGGTTAGGATTACGTAGGTAAAAAGTTAATGTTTAAATATAACCCACAACCATCCGACAGAGCCAATAAAATCAAGATGTCACGTTTACTAACATGCCAATTAGCAAGGAAGCCTGAACATTTGTTCTCGTACACTCTTTTGAGTCCAGTCACGGATGCGCACTGTCTGGAATAACACCGCTTTGGATCTGTTGCAAAGCTGCCTCGTATTCAAGGATGAAAATGTATTTGGTTTTTCAGCAAACCAGAATCTTGAAAGGCAGTCGAAGCTTTGCTTGGTGGTGGACTATCACAGTGAAATATGTACATTATACCGACACTACATAGCCCAAAATACACTAATCATATCATAATCGTCTTAACATGTAAGTGTTTACGAAAAAAAAGAGCCTTTGTGAGAAAAAAAAACCGAATACATTAATAAGTCATTCAAGTAAGTCAAAGTGTCTCCCTGCTAAAGCAATGCAGTCTTTCTAATCTCTCTTCGTAGCCCTGAGATAGTGGTGAAAATTTCACACTGCCAATGGCCATTTATGGACTGTCTATTTCACACTACTGATCACTGACGGCTTGCCACAAAACGGTACCGATTATGTGCGAAGTGTGTATGTTATCTCCTCCAAGTTCTGCATGGGTTCGCTGCGGGTTCTCCAGAACTAAACACACGTCCAATGTAACCGATGTTAGTCTGCCATCACACGACCTTTCTGACAAAAAGAGCATTTGGACTGAGTGTAGCTTTTCATGGATAAATTAATTTTCATATTATTTACCCAAAATGAATATTGGGTTGCGTTAACTAACAACAAAAATGGGGGCGCTGACTCCTATAATGATTGTTGCTGCACATAATTTGTGAAATTCCTGCTTGATACGGAAATGCCATAACATGTATGCTGCTTAATCCAGATGTCAATTTTCCGGCCCAAATCACTACGCTGAAGTTGAAAACTAAAGATGTATTAGACAATGATGAAGCTTAATATAAACCGCATGCCTGGACAACAGCAATGTCCACATTACCAGGTAATCAACAGGCTTTTGGTAATAAAACACATGTAATAAGGATGTAAAGCCCTTTGCCAACTCACTGTTGGAGGAAGATCTTCTCATGCTTTTTCAGTTATGCTGCTCAGCGTGGGCTGATGAAGGTAGGGGCCTGGGAACGATCTCCAGTGACATTTGTCATGCAAATTGAACCCTCCTGACCCCCCCCTCACTCGCTCCACTACACCGTGACTCACATCAATAGTCTAAAAGGCTACACAGGGAATTGTTGTTTGTGTGTATGGTTGCAATCGTGAACATGTCTATGTATTTTGTGTATGTTTATACGTGTGCCTCCTGTGCATGTGTATGTAAATGCATTAATATACGTGGGTGTTTGTGTACGTATTGTGCGAAGTGTGGCGGTGCGTGCACTTCGCTCCAAATTGCGTTGATTTGATTTTGATTACCAGCCCGGAGCATGCGTGAGTGACGGGATGTACATAACTTGATAACCTGTACCGAGCCTCTCCTAGGTCAACTCAGTCTTAAATGGTGCCTGGTACGATGTGTGTGTGTGTGTGTGACACACATAATCCATCGTGAGGCATGGGTTGATGGATCACATGGAGACTTATAGAAAAAAATCCGCAATCCGCTCGGCTGCAAGATGGCCATGAGAAGACAGTAGAGCTATAGGTTCTTCAAACTATGTGAACATTTGATTCATCTCTCGCTACTGAAGTTTCCTCTCACAAGCAAAACACTCTTAAAATGAGTCTTATGACTCAGTATAGCTTTCCTTCTCTGCTGTGTTATCTTCATCATCATTACTGGCTGATGGAAAATCAGCATTCACAGCAGCAACGGTAGCATCAACATCATCCACTTTTTATGATCATAAGCATACATTTTTACGTGTTTTTTTATTTTATTGTTTCCCTTCTACGTGACTTTACCGAAAGAACCAAGAATATGAATTCCTGCAGTCACGAAAGCTTTAAATCAAAATTTAAGCATCAATTTATCATCATCAAGACTGTTATCCTCGAATGAACCACTATGCTCAGTTAACATAATAATAATCATGGTGATGAAATATACTCAAACAAATCATCATGATTATATCTTATTAATCATCATATGCAACACTAGCAGCA